ATTTTAAAATTTGGTTGAACAAATACATGGTTTCATATATATGGCTACATTTTACCCATGGAGACAATGAATGCACCAAGGAAGTTGGAATCATTGGGTAACTTCTCAGTTTTTTTAAGAGGGTGATCATGTATTATTGGATCTTTTTTTGTCCCTTATGATATAAGTGACGTATGAGCGTGACATTGTAAATTGTGGAGAGTGTGTGTGTGTGGTGGTAGATAGCCCAAAGTGTATCCATTTGTGTTGAGTGGTAACATAAGGGAACCAGATTTTGGCTTAGCCATATTTTAAGGGAATGAAGGACTTGATAATGATTTGTTTATAATGTTGTTGCTCGCTTAGGCTGGGGAGCCATGTGTTATTGATGGGACTGACATTCTGGAAGAAATTGGACACAAAATGCGCTTTAAACAATGGTATCTTAATTACTTTTAAAAAAGTGTTGTATTTTTTCTGTATTGACGAGAGAACGTTTTTATCATTAATTTAATCAGTTATAGTGTTCTCCTACTATCGCATTTTCTCTACACGGTTTGATTAAAAATTTAAAGAACTGAATTGCTGCTTAAATTATCCTTTTATTAATATTTCATTTTTTAATGTGTCCCTTAAATACCAGGGATCCAGAAATAACTCTTGAGTTACATTTGATGTCGAAAGTCAATTATAAGTAAACTTAATTGTTAAGAAACATATTCTATTAAAGCTAATGTGTTTATACTTTCAAACTACAATGGCTTTTGAATATTAATATATTAAATTTATTATTTTGACAGATCACAAATACAGTATAAATGTAACGTTATTGTTGTAATCTAAAACCATGTACAGCGTTTGTATTATGTTTTTTATGTATGCATCTCTTAGTTCTGTTTGATTATTTTAGCTATTCGTACGTAAGTTATTCCCCTTTAATAAAATGTAAAATTTTAAAATTGGAGATCTTAACCGATCAATTTCAATTTTAAAAAATGGAGAAGAATTGATCAATTAATTTAATTCTATGTTTTAATTAGCCCAAAACCAAAAGAACTGTGACAAATATAGTAGCGTTCTAGATAATTCAGCTTTAAAAATATGTATATGTGTATGATTAGCAGATAATACACTACTTAGTTTTTATTTCAAACTTGATTTATTGTTCAGGCCAACTAAAAAAACGTTATGAATTAAGTATGCTATATAATTATATGCTATATATATTAAGTATATTATAAATAAATAAATAAATATATATATGTTTATGTATATATATATATATATATATATATATATATATATATATATATATATATATATATATATATATATATATAAAATATATATATATATATATATATATATATATATATATATATATATATATATATATATTTATATATATATATAAACACTTAAAACGGGCAAAGAATGTTGTATTATGTAAGCATTGACAAGAAAGTCAACAAAACCCATAATTATCCATCATTCTTTTAAGGATAGACACCACGGAAAGAACTTTTTTTTAATACAATTCTGGGTGTTTAATAAATTCATCCTAATATATAACCTCCCCCCCCCCCCCGTGCGCACTTCTCTCTCTCTCTCTCTACCTCTCTCTCTCTCTGTGTCTCTCTCTCTCTCTCTCTCTGTCTGTCTGTCCACAAAATATTTTCGCGGACATCACGTCAGAAACTGCAGCGATATATGAAGAACTTTATTTTGTTGAAAATAATATGTTAGATGTTTTAAATGTATAACCACAATTTAATTTAAAGAAGAAAAATAAAAAATAAAGGCGTGTTCGAATGTAGAAAAACAATTGTATTTATGCAACCGGAAAAGTGTTTAAACTTGGGACAAGAACGCATTTAACAATGACGTCGTTTATTGTTTACACTAAAAAAAGAGCACGAAACTGATGACGTCATCTTCCGAGTTTAGAATAAAAAGAAATGAATTATTTCATTCAAATATGATTTAGAGCTATGTACGCTATAAAATGTAAACTATACAATACCATTTTCTCGGCCTAAACTTAAAAAAAAATATTTTATCTATTTGGATTCTAGATCTAGAGATTCTAGATCTAGACTAGATCTAAATCTACGCTACGTCGCTAAGATCTATTCTAGATCTAGATTTAGACTCTATCTACTGTAGAATCTATTCCAAAAATAAATCTCTATAATAAACTTTTTCAGGACTTAAATATTTTATAGAAATCTTTGTTTGTTTAGCAATGAAACTGGCTAATTTTGGGTAAAAGAATTAATTTGAAAAAATAGGCATATTCGCGTAAGTTATTTTTTTTTTAAACACTTCTTTTATTCTCCATATCTTAAAGGTACCTAATTAGCTGAGATGATAGTGTATTTGATACCACACAGGTGGTGCCGGATCGAGACACACCAAGTCTCACCTTTTTTTTTATATGTGAATCTTCCTATTTTAGACTATAAAGAAAGGAAGTACTTTGGAAATCTTTGTTTATCTATGCAATTTGCTAATCTCTATAATATATGAAGCAAAGTTGTCGGGTGCCCGACATCGGGCACTTCCCGGCGCCGCAGGCGCTTCAAATTTAGCAGGATCTTGCCTTGGGGCGACAGAACACGGGGACCGGTGCCGGTTGGCCTAAGGGTCTACGTTGAGGGGGTCAAAACAGACCTCGACTGACCGGCGCCTTATATGAACTATAAATCGAAAAAAAAATGTGTCCACGTAGGAACCTCTTCATAACTCCTGAGGTCGTAGACCGACCCTCGGGCGAATTAATTAAGCATTCAAATTCTCAATGTTTTTGAAAGCCTAAGCGAAGCTGGGCAGCATGCCTAGTATGTTAATAGATGTTAACCTATAGACAAAAAATAATATATAGCCGTCAATAGCATCACTGGTTGCAATGGAAACAACGAAAAGGTGTAAAAAGTAACACCTTTCCAAACATCTATAACTTTGTTCGTATAAGAATTATTTAAAAGCTAATGAAAGACGTAGATTTCTTAAATGAAACTATACATTTTTACAAGCTTTTATTTAACTTGCATCCTCTGTCGTCAGTCTAGACCGAAACGCAGGAGTGAAAATTCGGACGCTTCTACTTGACCGATACGATTCACATTTGACACGTGGGTCAAGACATGAAGACATAGCAATCTGTAATTAAATTTGACTTAATAGGATGCCTAATTAATTTTTTATGAATTAATTAAAATTTGGACCGAATGAGTAGGCATGTCTATCCAACCACACCACACGCGTCATCACCTTCAATAGCTGCGCCATCACGATCAATGGCTGCGTTCAAAAACCATTGCGCGCCTACTGAACGTGATGTTCAGTAGGCGCGCAATGGTTTTTAGTCATGTAACTCTATCTAATATATAAAGCTCAGTTCTGTATGTAACGCATATGTTTGTCGTTGGTCTTGGATGGATTTAAGTGTTAGACAATTATCGTGCGATTTGTCTAAATTTATGAGTTAAAAAATTACTATTGAAAGTGTTGGGAAATAATTTTCATTTTTCAAATTATAGTAATAATTGTCAGCATGTTCATTAAACACAAGTTTAAAAAAAAATATCATCTTTTACAAAAATTCTAATTATGTCTTTATTTAGTCCTATAGCACTTACTTCCCTTTGATAAATTAGGAAAACACAATTACTTTCCTTTATAAAACCATTGCATTAGTGGAAAATAATTTACTTTTTATTACTTTGTTTTGGTGTTGTGAAAAAAAAATAATTACATAATTAGCGGGGATTGATCAAGTGCACATGTTGTAGGTATTTACGGCTAAGCTTGGAGTATTAAAATTGTTCATTAAATTGAAACAGGCGCGTTCGTTTAAGTGAGTGCAAAAGACTATGAATAAGTTGGGGTACTATAGTCGTTCATTAAGCTAAAACAGGTGATTCCGCCCCGGGCGTTTATGTTCGCGTTAGTGTTTTCTTTGTGTTTAGGTGGGTTTGCGTTAGTGGTTGCGTTTTGATTTGGTTCCTTTTTGTTCTTTCTTTTTTTCGTTTTTGATTGTGTTTTTTTGTTAGGGTTTGTATTTGTGTTTTTGGTTGGTTTTGCGTTTGGATTTGGTTAGCTTTCGTTTGCTTTTTCGTTGTTTTTTTTGTTGGTATTGGTGTTTGTGGTTGGGTTTGCTGTTAGGTTTTTGTTTTCGTTTGCTTTTTTGTTTGTTTTTTCTTTGTGTTTGTATTGGTGTTTGTGGTTGTGGTTGGGTTTGTTGTTAGGTTTTTGTTTTCGTTTGTATTTGTAATTGTGTTAGCGTTATGTTTGCGTTTTGTTGTTTTGGTTGGTTGTGGTTTGGGTGGGCAATGCCGGGTTTATGATGATTACTAAACACACAGGTAATGGTCTTTAACAGAAAGGTTTTTCACAGAAGCCAGAGCAGGGCCTGGCCGGGACGGCTAGTTGTAAATAAAACATGTAAAGTACTGACAAAAAAATTCATAAAAAACGTTTTAATAACAAGCTTTTATGTAATAATGCACTAAAAAGTAGAAAATAAATTATAGACTACTATTTAAATAACTAGAAAGAAAAGCGTGGGTGTCTTCCTAAACATTAGTGTAGGTATCCAATAGATACTAAAGTGACCCACGCTTTTCTTTCTAGTTATTTAAATAGTAGTCTATAATTTATTTTCTACTTTTTAGTGCATTATTACACAAAAGCTTGTTATTAAAACGTTTTTTATGAATTTTGTTTTACGTTTATTTATAGAGGCAGAAGTCAAGTTGAGAATGGGTAAGTGTGACAATCAACTATTTTACTTTGTTGATGACTTTAAAAATCTACAAATTAAAATTGTGCGGAGGTCGATTCGCATTGTTACATTGTTGTTTTCAGTTGAAGCAATCTTTATGAGTTAGCAATGTATTAATGTGCTAGACTTAAGTATTCTTTGACCATTTAGTCATGATTACATAGAGCAAATATATAATATGTATCATTTTTTTTTATGTATATGTTTTTATTGCACAATCGTGCTCTCAGAATTAGTATGTATTTTCAGCTGGACCCATAGTGCTCTTGATATACAATGCTCTCACATTCTGCCAATTTTTTCTTCAAGAGGGACACCTGGAAGTTGATAGCCAAAGTTACATTTTGGTACAGCTAGTCTGAATTCATATTGACATGTCCAATGCAAACAGCCAAACAAAGTACCTTTTTTCATCTGAAATTTGATGGTGGCTTTGGTCTCCTCAATCTTTGCATTAAGACTGTCATTGTGGGTAATTGGTGCGGGGAACTTGCCAGCTTTGTTCAAACCCGGCTCTAGAACTCTGGGAATTTGACGGATCAGAGACTCAGAAGCAAGGAAGGCGTCATACTTCTTGGCTAATTTTTTCACAAGTTTTTTGTCTTTGTTGAGTTTCTTTAGAGCTTCAATATCCATATGGGGCAAGTCGTTTGCCTTAGCCAGATCACAATGGACTTGATCACCAAGAACACAGACCTTCATCTTGGGCTTGGGGATATTACGCAATTTGATTGTTCCATTTTATTTTTCATTTCAATGCAATAAGTAAATGTATATTGAAAATATCTTCATACCGTTGTTCAACGTGACATTATTGTTATTATTCAAAGATAATGTTCTTTGTCTCAAAGGTTTATTTTTATACGAGCCGGCCCGCGGCATAACACACGCCGCTATTTAGTTGTTGTTTTTTCTACTTTTCAGTAATTCATAATTTGTGAATTCGACATTACCAACGCTGACACTGAAAATATTTCTTTAAAACACTATAAGTAGCTCGTTAAGGACAGTGACATTATTGTTATTATTCAAAGATAATGTTCTTTGTCTCAAAGGTTTATTTTTATACGAGCCGGCCCGCGGCATAACATACGCCGCTATTTAGTTGTTGTTTTTTCTACTTTTCAGTAATTCATAATTTGTGAATTCGACATTACCAACGCTGACACTGAAAATATTTCTTTAAAACACTATAAGTAGCTCGTTAAGGACCATAACCCCCCCCCCCCTTCCTCCCCCCCCCCCCCCCCCCCAACGTTTAAAATCGTTTCAAACTAAATTATCTGCCCCTAATAGCCGTCACTAAACCCGACTCCACGAAGGTAAACATAGCGTGAACCACAGCTCACTAAGACCATGTAGGGGTGGGGATGGTAGGGAGCGCGTTTACAGCTTGTTTTCTAGCGTCTCCAAGAAGATAATTATATATATATATTTAGATTTACATTTCAAATTTTAACGAAAATGGCACACATCTAAAAATACAATTTAGCATACGTTTTAGATATTTATTATAACTGATATTCTTAACCATAACCAGTAATTTGATTTTATTTTATTAATTTGATTGCGTTTGTTATAATATATTGTTATTATTAAAGAAGTTGTTTCCCTTGAAAGATGAACGAAAAGCACGGACTTGTAAAGGTTTATTAATTTTTTTAAGGTAATTAAATATTTTTTTTCAAGCAATTTTCACTGAGTCGGGTTAGACAAAAAATACCTGTCATGACGAAATGGTATAAATTAACCGCCCATTAATAGTGTATGCCTCAATAGCTTAAGTCGTTTCAGTTACGTTTTTTAAGTTCTATTAAATTTTACTTTATTTTAGGAGCTTTTATAATATACAGTACTTCAGACTTTTCTTTCTGTGAACTAAATAAGTAATTTGTGTATGTCAACACTAGACACACTAACCATTGCATTGATATGTGGTTGGATTCATTATTCACATTTTACGTGTGACCATTGCATTCATATGTGGTTGTATTCATTATTCACATTTTAAGTGTAACCATTGCATTCATATGTGGTTGGATTCATTATTCACATTTTACGTGTGAACATTGCATTCATATGTGGTTAGATTCATTATTCACATTTTACGTGTGACCATTGCATTCATATGTGGTTGGATTCATTATTCACATTTTACGTGTGACCATTACATTCATATGTGGTTGGATTCATTATTCACATTTTACGTGTGGCCATTGTATTCATATGTGGTTGGATATATTATTCACATTTTACGTGTGACCATTGTATTCATATGTGGTTAGATTCATTATTCACATTTTACGTGTGACCATTGCATTCATATGTGGTTGGATTCATTATTCACATTTTACGTGTGACCATTGCCTTCATATGTGGTTGGATTCATTATTCACATTTTACGTGTGACCATTGCATTCATATGTGGTTGATTCATTATTCACATTTTACGTGTGACCATTGCATTCATATGTGGTTGGATTCATTATTCACATTTTACGTGTGACCATTGCATTCATATGTGGTTGGATTTATTATTCACATTTTACGTGTGACCATTGTATTCATATGTGGTTGGATTCATTATTCACATTTTACGTGTGACCATTGTATTCATATATGGTTGGATTCATTATTCACATTTTACGTTTGACCATTGCATTCATATGTGGTTGGATTCATTATTCACATTTTACGTGTGGCCATTGCATTCATATGTGGTTGGATTCATTATTCACATTTTACGTGTGACCATTGTATTCATATGTGGTTGGATTCATTATTCACATTTTACGTGTGGCCATTGCATTCATATGTGGTTGGATTCATTATTCACATTTTACGTGTGACCATTGTATTCATATATGGTTGGATTCATTATTCACATTTTACGTTTGACCATTGTATTCATATATGGTTGGATTCATTATTCACATTTTACGTGTGACCATTGCATTCATATGTGGTTGGATTCATTATTCACATTTTACGTGTGACCATTGCATTCATATGTGGTTGGATTCATTATTCACATTTTACGTGTGGCCATTGCATTCATATGTGGTTGGATTCATTATTCACATTTTACGTGTGACCATTGTATTCATATGTGGTTGGATTCATTATTCACATTTTACGTGTGACCATTGTATTCATATATGGTTGGATTCATTATTCACATTTTACGTGTGACCATTGTATTCATATATGGTTGGATTCATTATTCACATTTTACGTGTGACCATTGCATTCATATGTGGTTGGATTCATTATTCACATTTTACGTGTGACCATTGCCTTCATATGTGGTTGGATTCATTATTCACATTTTACGTGTGACCATTGCATTCATATGTGGTTGGATTCATTATTCACATTTTACGTGTGACCATTGCATTCATATGTGGTTGGATTCATTATTCACATGTTACGTGTGACCAATGCATTCATATGTGGTTGGATTTATTATTCACATTTTACGTGTGACCATTGTATTCATATGTGGTTGGATTCATTATTCACATTTTACGTGTGACCATTGCATTTATATGTGGTTGGATTCATTATTCACATTTTACGTGTGACCATTCATTCATACGTGGTTGGATTCACTATTCACATTTTACGTGTGAGAGATAGTGCAATTAACTGCTAGATAATGGGACGGCCTAATGGTAGAGCGTGTTACTACACTGTGAAGCTACAGAAAATGTATCTGGCCAAAGCTGAAATATCAACCTCATCAAATACAACATTGTTCTCATCCAAACCCAAATCAGAATAGCCTGATCATATGGAGTCAACACAAAACGTACTAGTAATACTTATCCGAACTATAATAAGTATTCATTAAGATACTCAACTTAGGTATAGTGCTGAAATCGACGTACTGTATTTTTGCAATAAAAGTACTTAAAATTTGACAGAAGGTAGAGAATTAGATATTTTTCTTACATGCGAATTTTCATTTATCTATCTGAAATAGTACTCAAATAATAGGCTTTTTGAAAAATTGAAAGTATAAAAAGTTTCACTTCCGGTTTCGGAAATCGCTGAAAAATTGACAGATCTACAAATTTGATATAATACTTATTATATATATGAAATTTCATTAACCAAGCTGTAACGGTACTCAAGTTAGCTTGTTTACAGACAAACACTCAGACACACAGACTCACACACACACACACACACACACACATACACACACACACACAGACATACGGATAAGATTGTAAAACTGTTTTTCGGACTTAGGGAGGTGTAAAACGTCGAGATTTTCAAAATTCTAGATTTTTTTTTTTTTGCACGATTAAAATACTTTCTCTTTATTTTGTATACGAGAAAGTAAAAGTGGACGGATGTCGATTCGCGTTGCTACATTGTTGATTTCAGTTGAGACAATATTTATGAGATAGCAATTTAATGTGATGGACTCAATTATTCATTGACGATTTAGTCATATTTATATCGAACAACTAGATTCTAGATCTGTATGGAATATTGGTATGGCTTTAGTTTTGGAAAATTCATTAACCCATATTATCCCAAGGTCTCAAATTTTTATAATTTTTTGATATGGTTTAGCTTTTGGGCACTGAATGAAGGAATGACTATGGATTTTTTTAAAAAATCAATACTTTTTAAAATATCGATTTTTTAAAAAACGTCCCATAAATGGGACGCTAGCAACGAACGGCCCCATGTACTTTTATTGAAAAATAAAATCATTTTTCACGAAATATGGCTAATCACGCGAAAATTAAGCTGTGTACTGATTTTGTATTGTTAGACCAATGATTTAATTGTTTAGGACAGCTAAAAATACTGATAATGATCAATTGGGTTAGCCATACCATGGTCTAAAATGCAGAAATTATGTTCAAAAGTCTAGTTTTCTTTCAATCTAGCATCCATCAAAGTGAACAACACTTGGAAATAAGTAAAGCTGTGACTAGTACATCTAATTATACACACATGATCACAAATATTGTTATTATTCATCGAAACTATAATATAATTAAATATAAATAATTGATTTTTTTGGGGGGCGTACTTGAAATTTTCAGGGGTGGGGACTTAAATTTCAGGGGAAGGGTGGACATTGGTAAAAGTATGTTTTGTATATAAATTCCATTTTCTTCTGGGGGCAGAGCCCCCCCCCCCCCCCCTCCTCCGAAATGATGCCTGAAAGAAACTCTGCCCTTAGTGAATTTGCAAAAGATGTTCCGGTCCAGTCCCAGATGTCATCCAGCCATCTTGTCTTTTGTTACCCTCGCTATCCCCCCCCCCCCCACAGGCGTACATTAGGACATCAGACATCTTATTTCTAGGTCACGGATCTGTCTCTGGGGGCTTGTATTGAGTGTTCATGGCTCTCATCCATGTATGCACCTCACTATGCCAACAGCTCCCAATCTAACACCAGGAATCTCCTTAAAAAGTTAACAAAGTAAAGCTGGTATCGGTAACCTTTGGAGGGGGATATTATTAGGGCATGACAACTGTACACAGCTAATTCACTTTTCTGCTATATGTAGCTTAAGCCCTCTTATATGAAGAGAGTTAACCAACCCCCATGACTGAATCATTTCACCTAAATCGTGGCCATTGTTATTATTCTGGTTTGTTATAATTTTAATATCACACGCTAGTAAATTTACAGCAATACTAAATTAGTTTGTATTCAATGGTATTAAATACTTCAGTAAGTGTAATTCTGAAAACTTAAAA